GAAAGGCAATCTAAAGCCGAAAGTTGAGTTTGTCATTACTGTACCGCTAACGGAACTTCAAAAAGAAGCGTACAAGATCTATGTCGAATATGTCCTTGAGAGTTCTAAGGACGGAGAAGTTGAAAATGCTCGCATCTGGAGTTGGCTAGCGTTACTTGGTCTTCTTTGCAATCATCCTCTCATATATTTCGATAAGCTTTTCGGCGAAGACCCCGATCCAAAGAAACGTCCTAAGTCAGCGACCAAGACTAAGACGAGCAAACTAGAGCAACAAGATGCTGGGAATGCTTTATCTAATGCAGAAGACGAAGAGAGCCTGGATAGTCCTGGACAATATCCTGACGACGTACCTGTGTCGAAACTCGGGTTTTCGGAGAGCATGCTGGAAGTGCAAAAGGAGATCTTTGAAAAAGCTAAGGAATCTCTGGCGATTATACATCTATCATACAAGATAGAAGTATTTGAGAAAATCTTAGACTATTGCGAAGAATATGGCGATCGTGTGCTGGTATTTTCGCATAGTATACCTACCCTTAACTTCCTCGAAAATTCGTTCAAAGAGAAGGGAAGGAGTTACCAGAGGATTGACGGAAGCACTAAGGCTTCGAGCCGTCAGAACGCTGCGAAAGAGTTTAATTATGGCGTAAAGGCGTCCAATATCTTCCTCATATCGACTCGGGCTGGTGGGCTTGGGTTGAATCTCCCCGGAGCTAACAGAGTAATAATCTTCGACTTTGGGTTCAATCCCACATGGGAAGAACAAGCGGTTGGCCGAGCCTACCGCATCGGTCAGGAAAAGCCAGTATTCGTCTACCGATTTGTTGCCGGTGGAACTTTTGAGACAATTGTGTACAACAAAGCTGTCTTCAAGACGCAGTTAGCCTATAGGGTGGTTGACAAGAAGAACGTCCAAAGGCATGCCCAGAGGTCCCGGGACTTCTTATTCAACCCTAAGCCAGTCCCACAAGAAGACATTCGGACTTTCAGGGGTAAAGACGTCCATGTGCTAGATCGAATACTGGACCTCGACAATAGTCTGAACATTCGGGCAATTACCACAACGGAGACCTTGCAGGAGGAAATTGCCGAAGATTTCACGGCAGAAGAAATGAGAGAAATTGAAAAGATGCAGGAGATCGAGAAGTTGCGGAAAGTGGATCCATTGGCGTGGAAGCAAAGGATAATGGCTGAGCAGACTTACGAGCAGCAGACGTTGCTTGGGCAGTCTATGATGGCACAAAGACGGCGAGAAGCTATGGCTATGCCGTGGCTTGCACCGGCTCCATCTACTGCTAGCGTGGAACACTTTTCTGATCTTGATCAACGAGCTAAGGCCGTCATCCAAACGCCCACTAGAACCGGACCGCATTTACCTCCAAAAGTCTCCGAAAATCACCGTTCCGAAATCGAGGCCAGCTCAGACTCAATCTCAAGTATTTCAGACAAGCCCTTACAATCTTCACGAATGCCTTCAATACCACCTACAGCGGCCTCACAGCCACCACCATCATTACTGGCCAGGGAAGCACCTCAGACGACGAAAAACGGCCCAGCTCGTTTCAGATCCTCCCCTTCTTCTCCGATGTATGATTCACTGAGAAATCGACAACAACATTCGACGCTAGATGCTATCTCCGAGAATGTCGACAACAGTACTAGTCGCCAACAATGCTAGTCGCAGGCTGCTGAGGAGTCCAGAGCCCTCTTTTCAAAACGTTCCATCTCCAAGCGCCCATATATCTCGCGATAGAGTGGACAAAAATCTGACGGAATGATCTAGTGATAACATAACCGTGCAAGGACGCACGCAGTCTCCTCGTGGGAAGATATGAACATTTGAGACGATTGAATGATGCCTCAAGGCCTCCGAGGTTCTGGCTTGCATTGCAATTAATTTGAGTTACACAGAGACGGCCCATGGCGATCTATTCTTATTTTTTCGCTATCACTTTTCAAATATCTATGGGGGATTTTGTTTGTTGCACAGCTGCATAGTTGGGACCGGTTTCTTCTCTGCAACAATTGGAGGGCGGACTGGTATGCTACCCATTTCTCTTACTGTAAGATAAATTACCAGCTAGACTGCAAGTCTTCCCGGCTTTCTCTCTCGGGCCATCGATAGAGATGAAGACCAATTATGGTCAAAATTAGTTCTGTGAATATGATGCCGCAATTTTTGATTGGGCGCATAGTGACGTAATTGGCAATTGGCGTTGATGAAGCCCTCTACCGACAAAACACATGCACTCAACAGTAATCCTACTGCATAACTGATTTCACGACTTGTAAATGTTTAGGTTATATGAGGTTATGCTTACGAATTTCCGGCCGGGTTCGGCTCCGCAAAAATTTCTCATGAAGTAGTTCCGGAGTTTTTAGGCCAATCAAACGTTGATTATATTCAGATGACATCCCCTGTCGACTGTTTCTCCGCACTTCGCTATGCCAACAACCGCGGACTTCCAACAAATTCCACCTCGTCCTCACCGCATCCACCACCACTTCTCATTCTCCTCTACAACCAGATCTCACGAACCATTAGCGTTGAAAAATCATCTTTCTCTTTCATTGACCCGCCATGGAGGCTCTTCTTCGTCAATCGAGGTCCATGTGTCCGTTCCTCTCGAAAACGTCGCCCGCCACTTTGCGCTCCTTGTCGACCACCAGCACTGGCCACCATGTCTCTCCGGGAGGTGGCAGTATGTCGAACCTTCAGGTCCTTGCCAGACGCTGCCCGATCATGGGCAAAGCGCTTGCAGTCCAGAGCGCTGGCGCTGGAAATGCTGCTCTTGCTGGCGCTTATGGAGGCGTGAGGGCCTACCATTCCAAGACTGGTAGAGCCAACTTGCATACTTCCACTCCAAAGGAAGCCCAGGCAGTCGGAATCGAGAACATGCACACAAAGCAAGGTTGGCTCCCATCTCTCACACTGTTCAAGAGGGCCGAAATCTCGAGTCCCGTCTTTGAGGCATTCAGCTGACTTGCAATTCTGCAGTTCCTTTTCCTCATGCCTCCAACCCGCCTGTCACTCGTACGAAACAGCCAGTCAGTGCCCCTCCTAAGCCTAAGCCGGCTAAATTCGATTACGATGGCTTCTACCAGAACGAATTGGACAAGAAGCACAAAGACAAATCGTACCGTTACTTCAACAACATCAATCGCTTGGCTAAGGAATTCCCTCGTGCGCACATGGCATCCAAAGAAGAAAAGGTCACGGTCTGGTGCTCCAACGATTACCTCGGCATGGGAAGAAACCCGCACGTGTTGAAGAGCATGCACGAGACCCTCGATACTTACGGTGCTGGAGCTGGAGGAACAAGGAATATTTCTGGTCACAATCAACATGCTGTGTCTCTGGAGAGCACTATTGCTAAACTTCATGCTAAGGAGAGCGCATTGGTCTTCTCTTCTTGCTATGTGGCGAATGATGCAACTCTGGCAACTTTGGGAAGCAAGCTCCCCAACTGCGTGATTCTCTCTGACAGCATGAATCATGCCTCGATGATTCAAGGTATTCGACACTCGGGCGCGAAGAAGATGGTTTTCAAACACAACGATGTTGCTGACCTGGAGGCTAAGCTTGCCTCACTTCCGCCGGAAATCCCGAAGATCATTGCATTCGAAAGTGTTTACAGTATGTGTGGATCGATTGGGCCCATTGAAGAGATATGTGATCTGGCCGAGAAGTACGGAGCTATCACCTTTTTGGATGAAGTTCACGCAGTTGGCATGTACGGTCCACATGGTGCAGGTGTTGCTGAACACTTGGACTACGAGGCTCACGTTGCAGGAAAGACGTCTGGAACAGTCATGGACCGCATCGATATTATTACGGGGACTCTTGGCAAGGCATACGGCTGCGTAGGTGGATACATCGCTGGTTCTGCCAAACTTGTAGACACCGTTCGCTCTCTCGCTCCAGGATTTATCTTCACCACCTCTCTCCCACCAGCGACCATGGCTGGAGCGAAGACGGCCATTGAATATCAAATGAGCTATCAAGGCGACAGACGTCTTCAGCAGCTGCACACACGTGCTGTCAAGGACGCTCTGAGTGCCAAGGATATCCCTGTGATGCCAAACCCGAGCCACATTATTCCGGTGCTTGTCGGAAACGCTGAAGTCGCGAAGCAAGCCAGCGATCTTTTACTAGAGGATTGGAGCATCTATGTTCAAGCTATCAATTACCCGACAGTTCCTGTTGGCCAGGAGCGTTTGCGCATCACCCCTACTCCCGGGCATGTGCGAGAATATCGCGAACACTTGGTTGAGGCCCTCGTTGGTGTCTGGAAGCAGCTTGGAATTAAGCGCACGAGCGAGTGGGCTGCGCAGGGCGGCTTCATTGGAGTCGGGGAGGCCGGAAAAGTAGAAGAACTTCCGCTTTGGACTGATAAGCAATTAGGCCTTGATGAAGTTTTGAAGGAGATGAAAGCTGGCCACGGCGCTGTCGGCGTTCTTGAGTCTGTCTTGGAGAACGAACGCAAGGCGACCGCTCACGCTGTTAGTGCAGCTGCTTAGTTGGGCATTTTATGCCTAGGTACACTTAAAATAGTCACTCTTTTAGATGCTCTTGGAGCTGCGGAATCTGTAGCAGTTACAATATATGCGCCTCAATGTTGCACAATCTTGGTGCAGATATTTGGCCTTTGGTTGGACTGTTTTGAAATGATTGCTACCTTCCAATGTGCGAACTGTGTGGTGAGTTTGTGAAACGTTTGTTGTAACATCTATTATCTATCTGCCTGAAGTATTCGCACCCAGGAAAATTAAGAGACGCTGTGGACCTAGCGGTAACAGCCTGTGATGGATTTATTCTATACCTTGCTGCTTATGATGTTTCAACACTCGCTCTGCTAGCCAGCATTGATGTTGCATCCTCAAGTGCTACGACTATTTAAAACACGCTGGTAATTAAAATTAGTAGCAAAAAAAAAACCTCAGCCAAAAGAGCAAGGTGTTTAATAGTGCGTACATAAATATAAAAAAAATGAACTTAAGGATGGCGGTACTGGGAATCGAACCCAGGCTGGCACGGAGTTGTAAACCACAACGTGACGTCATACCACTAGACCATACCACCTCGCTTTGTAATTATGAGTTGATGGAATTTATTTTCTTATATAAAGTTACAAAATAAAAAATCACGTGGAAGTCTTGGCATAGTTTCTTCTTCTTGAGTTGCTGAAGCCTGATTTTAGTTTAGTGAATTCACTCCTTTCCTAATATACCTTGTTATTACTTTATATACCTAATTTAAGGTTCCATGGTTAGTGTAAGGCTGGCTTGTCATTGTTTTATTGAACGCGAAAGAATAAGCGAAGTTTCCTGCGACCTCAATCAAGCCTCAGAGACTGCGCGGAGCCTACCCGGACACGTTCATCTTCCACTTCTACAACACTACTTCCTCTCTTGAATTTTCTTTTTATCGCATTTCCCTTGTACTACCTCTACGACGACACTCCAGTCTGCCTTGTGGTATCAAGAAACGATCGATTTCGCAGTAAACTAAATCCCGTTGGACCCTCCTTTCGATCCTCTGCTCACAGTGAATGCAAAGCACGACGCATATTGACTGTCGCGTCCTTTCGGGCGATCAGCAGAAGGAGGATAGGCATGGCGCCTAGTGGAAAGAGGAAGAGAGCAGATAGGACCTACTCACAGGATGACAATGACGGTTCAAGTCGGGCCTCTCCCCATCGACCCCAGGATATGTCTCTTGCGCAACGAGGCCAACAGAACAATGCGAGAGGCGGTAGACGGAGTAGTCGCGGTGCTGGACGAGGAGGCTCGACTGCTCGGGAGAGCCCAGTCTCCGCTTCCAATCCGCAAATCTCCCCAGTCACATCGAAAGCTATGTCTCCACCCCCCACGAATTCCGCATCAGCCAAGGGTACATCCAACGCAACCTCACCTGTGCTGCTATCAAACTCGACCGAACGGCCATCGACCAAAACATCTGCCTCTCAGACATTGCATTACTTCGAATACTTATCGGAAGACCGCATCACGTCATGGCGGGGAGCAGGACGGAAAGCAGTCGTGGATGCTGCTGTACATGCACAATCGGAGAGCGATGCTTTGGTGCTAGCTTCCATTTTCCAAGAGCTAGTGAAAGCAAGCCTTGAAGGACTCTTGGACCCAACAGACGCTGGATCTATTGTCCGTGAAGTTCTTGGATCTCCTTCTGCATCGCTAGTTATGGACCCGATTTCTCTCTTCCTCGACTCAGTGAGCATACTTACAGAAGCCAATACTTCTCACCCGTCTCTGAAGACTCTGCTGGTCGCGACTGGCATCGACCCAAATCGAATGCGATCGGAGCTAGAGACACCCCTTCTCATCGCCCTACCACTCGTACGACCGACCTTTGTTAAGATGGCAATTCGGAAAGGGACTCATGCTTTATACCGGCAGTCCGCCTATAACCTGCTCCGAGAGGAAAGTGAGGGCTACTCCAAACTGATGACGGAGTATTTTACCACCGTCAACAGCGCGCCGCCCTCGGATGTGGTAGTCACGGATACATTCCAGAGAGTCAAGGCTTTGATCGGGGCCTTCGACCTTGATGTTGGTAGAGTTCTTGACATTACACTAGACGTCTTCGCCAATCTCCTTGTCAAACACTACAGGTTCTTCATCAAGCTGCTTCGGACAAGCTCCTGGTGGCCAGAGCAAAAGGCTTTGCAAGGTGTAGAATGGGTGGATCAAGGGTTTTCATCGCTTCCGAACTGGGCTTTGCCGGGTTGTCCTATATGGCATACAACTGAAGAAGAAAAAGAACGCCTGCTGTTACTCCGGGAAATGCGAGATACACAATTCTGGGAACGAGTACGAGAAGTTGGACTTGGTGCCTATTTTGAGCTTGGCAGTCGTCGGATAACCAGTGACATCTCTGCGTTCGAGATGACTGGTGATACTGATGCAATGGAGACCATGTCCAGCAAGAAAAAAGACGAAGAAATTCCAGATAACGATAAGATCCATCAGTGGACGCGAGAATGGATAGTAGCCACGCGTACACTACCACCACCGGGCAATCGAATAGCCGCACAACTTCTCGGATTCAAGCTGCGTTTCTACGCTTCTGACGCTCGCGATCCTCACGATACTCTACCTGACAACCTCATCTATCTTGCTGCTCTACTTATCAAAATTGGATTCATCTCCCTTGTTGATCTTTATCCCCATCTTTACCCCTTGGATGAAGATATGCCAGCATTAAAGGAGAGACTGGAGAAGGAAAATGCTGAGAGAGAAAAGACACTTAAGGGAGAGAGTGCCAACAATGCTCTTGCAAATGCTGGCGCACTTCCTGACGATACACTGCCGCCTTCAGTCTCCCGGTTGCGCGAGGCTGAGAGCAGAGCTTCTTCGAAGCCTGAATCTATTGCCGATAAGGGCACACCGGCAAAGGCCGAGGAAGATGAGAAAGAGAAGTTGCCTGAACCTGTGGATCAGAAGACTCATCTCCTTCGCAGCCTTCTTTGCATTGGTGCTGTCCCAGAAGCGCTTTTCATCCTCGGAAAATTTCCCTGGCTTTTAGACGTCTATCCCGATCTACATGTGTACATTCATCGCCTCATACACCATTCCCTGAGCAAAATATATCAGCTAGCACAGCCAATATCTACTGAGGAGGGCATCTGTGTCCCAAAGAGATCATTGGTTGACGATCCATTATCTACCAAAGGCCAACCCCGACCCACGGATTTTCCTCCTCGTAAGACTTTACGTTGGGCACAGTTGGAGAGAAATGACGCTGGTGATGGTATAGATTATCGATTCTACTGGGATGATTGGGCAGACAACGTACCGATCTGCCAAACTGTGGACGATGTTTTCAAATTGTGTGACACGCTTTTGAACCTCCTCGGGCTCAAGTTTAGCCAAGACGGCGCGCTTCTTTCTAAAATTGCACGAATAGGGAAGAAGAGTGTGACGGATGATCCTTCAGAAAGCAACAAGAAACGATGGATCGAACTCATAAAGCGTCTTTTGGCGCCTTCGCTTACTTTCACGGGACGAAACCCAGGCGTTGTCAGCGAAATGTTCGAACTACTCAAGTGCTTCCCAACCGAAACTCGATACTCCATCTATTCCGAATGGTTCACTGGGCCGATGTCGCGCCACGCACTGGTGTCAAAGACGTTCAAAGAGGTCAGCTCAGAGACGAAAAATGTTCTTAAGCGCATCAGCAAAACGAATGTAAAACCAATGGCCAGGGCATTAGCTAAGGCGGCCTACAATTCGCCTGGCGTTGTCTTTCAAGTCGTACTTTCGCAGATCGAGTCCTATGAGAACTTGAGCGAGGTGGTCATTGAGTGTGGGAGATACTTCACATACCTGGCCTACGACTGCCTCACTTGGGCTCTTATGAATTCTCTTGGTGGTATGGACCGGAATCGCGTCCAGGCAGATGGAATGCTTACCAGCCAGTGGCTGAGGGCATTGGCTGCTTTTGCAGGAAAGGTTTACAAACGCTATAACGTTATGAATCCAACGCCTGTTCTGCAATATGTTGGCCATCAACTTCTCCGAGGAAATTCCATGGATCTTGAGGTGCTTGAGCAAATTCTTGTCTCCATGGCTGGAATCAGGTCGGACTTAGTACTCAGTGATAGTCAAATCGCATGTATGGCTGGTGGTGAACTACTTCGCGCACACACACTGGAATTTCATCTGGGCGACCAACGACACCTACTCCGGTCTACGTCAAAGCGACTCATGCGATATATGGTCGAGAACGGTCTCGCTGCTCAGCTGCTTATTGCAATTGCCCAGGAGCGACAGACTTATATCTTTCGCGAATCTGCAAGCGACGCACCTTTGAAAGTTCTGGGGAATAATCTCGATAGGATTCATCAAATCTTCGTTCAGTATCTAGATTTTCTTCGCAGCAACCTCTCAGTCAAGGACTTTGACCTCGCAATACCCGACGTCGTCAATCTCATCTCAAGCTTTGGTATCGACCCCAGTATCGCATTTACTATATGCCGCGACAGCATTACTAGTGCGGTCGAAGAGGTTGCTGCAAGAATGAGAACCGAGAAGGCCGAGAAGGCCAAAAAAGCTGAACGAGAACGTAATGCAAGGCAGGGAAATCAACAAGCTAACGGCGATGTCGAAATGGCCGAAGCATCGGGTGTTCCGGAGGCTCCTGCAACAAATGGAGAGTCCACCGGTCCTGTTAACGGCGAGATGAGGTCCACTCCCCTTAGCTCGGAGTCTCAATCACCTGCGGACGCCACAACAAAGGCATTGACTGTTTCTGAAGACCCTTGGAACCCGGTTCTAAAATCATTGATGGACGGTCTAAAGCCGGTATTACCCAGCACTTTCGAGGAAAACTTTAGCCTCTCTTTCTATGTCACGTTCTGGCAGCTTTCGCTGCACGACCTGATATGCCCTTCAAAAGAATATGAAATCGCCGTTGCTGCCTTGCGAGAAAAGATGCCAGCCAATGACAATCGTCGAGACGTAAGCATTCAGGCTGTGAAGAAGCGCGAAGCCGACAAGAAATACCTTCTTGACGAACAGGACAAGATTCGAGTGGAACTAAAGAACCACATCCAATCTTATTCAGAAATTAGGAGACGCCTCAAGGATGAGAAGGACCACTGGTTTGATGGGTTTCCTATGGTGGAAGCCAAATCGGAAGGTCTCCATGATTCCATTCTTCAAGAATGCTTCCTGCCACGAATGCTCTATTCATCTCAGGATGCACACTTCACCTTTGTCATGCTAAAGTACCTTCATTCTTCTGGAGTTCCTGGGTTTAGAACCATGAAATTTCTTGACCGTTTCTTTAGGCAGAAACAGCTTACTGCGCTCATCTTTCAGTGCACTGCGCGAGAGTCCGAGAACCTCGGGCGCTTCATGAACGAAGTACTCAAGGAACTCAAGCTGTGGCACGCGGACAGGGCCATGTATCTCCTACAAGCCGTAGGGGACAAACAAGAACTTCCCGGGTTCGGCAGAACCTTCAAACCGGATAGGACGCCTGCTAGCTTCGTTGATTACGAAGATTTCCGTCGTGTTCTCTACAAGTGGCATTCGCAACTTTTCAGGGCGCTCGAAGCT